TTCTGGCTTTTTCTGCTTATGTGGTGCTGAGGAATCGAACCCAGGGCCTCATGCATGCAAGGCAAGCGCTCTACCACTGAGACACCTTCCCAGCCCCGGGTTTATGTTTTTTAAAGTGAACTTTCTTTTTTATTTTTTAAAATTTTTCTGTTGGTCGTATAGCTTGAATTCAGGGCCTGAGTGCTGTCCCTGAGTTCTTCTACCCAATGCCAGTGCCCTACCATTTTGAGACACAGTGCTACTTCCAGTTTTCTGGTTATTAATTGGAGATAAGTGCCTCACGGACTTTCCTGCCTGGGTTGGCTCTGAACCATGATTCTCAGATCTCAGTCTCCTGAGCAAGGATTACAGGCATGAGCCACCAGCATCCGGCATTCAAAGTGAACTTTATTAGTTAATACAGAACACTATTACAACCTAGTCTGGGTGCTGGTGGCTCACATCTGTAACTCTAGCTACTAAGAAAGCTGAGGATTGTGGTTTGAAGCCAGCCCAGGCAGGAAAGTCCCTGAGATTCTTATCTCTAATAAACTACCAAAAAGCCAGAAGTGGAACTGTGGCTCAAGTGATTTGAGTATCAGCCTTGAGGAAGGAAAAAAAGCAGAAAAACAAAAGCTCAGGGGCATCACCTATGTCCTGAGGCCAAGGCTCTGGACCAGTACCAAAAAAATAAAAATAAAAAACTAAAAACAAAGATAATATAGAAGACAGAAGCTCTACCCTTCAGAAGACTTACACAACTTCTAGCAGTTGAAAGCTGAGAGGCAGAGTAGATTTGTAAACATGCCAAGAATCCATGTAACTTTGCATACACTAGCTCATGTATCCATGTATAGTTGTGTATACAAACTTTTGTGTGAAAGATATAAAGTGGCAGTGTTCACTCTCTTTAGCTTGTAATAATGAGAAATGGCCTGAGGAAGGGGGAAAATGATGGAAGGGGTAATACTGACCACGATGCATTATCCTCATAAAGTGGCATATTGAAATGATAACCCATTTCAACCACTATTTAAAGACACTGATACTAAGCAAAAGGAAATAAATGTACATATCACCTGATGTGGAAGAAATAGCTGTATTGTCAAAGCTCATAGAATTCACTAGCTTTATAGACCATGATAAAGACAATTTGCCCCATGAAGGTTAGAATGTATTTGTGACTTTAACTAAGTATCACTATCTCACAATACTGTGAAATCTATATAATCACAATAAAAATATGCTCCAAGATTTAAAAAAAGATAATAAAACATAACAAAAAAATGGTCTGTGGGTAAGAAGGGATGGGAGGAAAAAATGGAGAGAGAGAGGGAAGGGGTGACATTGTCTAAAAAGAAATGAACTCATTAACCTGACTTATGTAACTGTAACCCCTCTGTATATCATTTTAAAATAATAAAAAATAGAAATAAATGGTCTGAGGAAAGCAAAAAAAATACAGATAAAAAAAGAGAGAAAGAGATTCTTAGGAAAATGAAGGGAGATATCAGAAGATCAGAAGCATAAAATGACTGCAGACGTGTCGGGTCAGGGGTCTGTTTTGGAGCAGAGTCCAGCGGTCGAGTCTGCTTGTGGTTTCTGTAAGGACTCCACCTCCGTCCTCCTCAGTTCAGAAGATACCTTCAAAAGCTAAACTATGTTCACTCCAGCCACATCACCTATTCTCATCCTTTTGTTTTCAGAGTTCAAAGACTATGATCAATTCCCTGAGATACTTGAGACCTCAAATAGGATGCAATTATTTCTTACATAAGTCAGTTTCATGGGACAAAATTTGCCTTTGATTCTATTACTATTATTTGCTCAAAGGCAGACCTAAAATTACCATGACTGTCAGCCAGTAATGCCTAAGCCTTCCAACGCTGACATAGTCCAACTTGTAGAACTGAAAATAAATGTCCAGCAACCAGCGGCAGTCAAGTTGCAGTGATATCTAGGTGATTAAGTACACATACAATTTTTTTTCAGTTTTCACTCTTGGAAAGCAGATGATAGATAGGTAAGGAAGGTAATCAGACCATCAATGTGACAGTAAAGAATGTTAAAAGCTTTTTAATTGTTTACATTTTGTTTGGGGGCAACAGGGCAAGGGTTTCTAAACTACACTGCTAATGTTTCTTCTCTCATGCCGAAAACAATCAAGCATTTTTTTCCCTCTCTCTCCAGATGTCTGCTTATCTGCTCGGCAGGACTGTGCAAGAGCTTGTAAACAGCTAAGTTTACTTTGCTTCTGTCTTCAATCTAAGTGAATATAGCATTTAAAAAAAAAAAAAGAACACCCTCGAGTTACTTTCCAAAAGACAACAGCAACAAAAATGCCCTAAGTTGTTTTCTTAATATCCTATTTACTTGAGAAGTATTTTCAGGTTTTAAATGCTTTGTTTAAAAATGGGCTTTAATCTTCAGCCTCTAAAATATCCCTGCCAGCTTTCTTTTCTGGTCTTCTTTTATAAATGGAAGAAGGAAACGATAGAGAAGCTGGCTCCAAGCCCTCAGCTGGCTATTCTTAGTTCTAGCAATTATGGACCATGTCTGAGATAAACTAAGAAGAAAAGTAATTTTGAACCCTATGTTGCTGGATAAACAAGGGAGTGCCATGTGCTAGACTGGCACCAATTCCTATTAAAATGTTTGTTTTCATATTTAATTAATATGACCGGATTGCACAATGGGTTGTGCTGACGACCCTATGAATTCAGACAACATTCCCCCATCAAGCCAATGCACTCCTTCCACACACACTCCTTTCTCAACTACTTCCCTCCACATCTTTATTTTTTTTGCAGTAGTACTGCAACTTGAACTCAGGGCCTGTACACTGTTCCTTAGCTTTTTTTGCTACCGGTTGGTGATCTACAGCTTGAGCCACAGCTCTACTCCCAGCTTTTGCTGGTTAACTGGAGATAGGAGTCTCATGTGTTTGTCTGTCAAGGCTGATTTCAAACCATGATCTTCAGACCCTAGCCTTCTGAGTAGCTAGGATTATAGGTAGGAGCTATTGGCACCCAGCTTCCTATTCAATTTTTTTAAAAACATTTTTTAGTGCAATTCATTATGCATTTTCATACACACACACACACGTGTGTGCGCGCACATGCGCGCGCGCGGTCTCTAACGACTCTATTTACCCCCTTACCCTCTCCTTTTCTCCTCCCATTGTTTTCCCCCAACAATCAGTTCCCCTTTTCCAATCACATTTATTATTATTATTATTAAGGTCTAGGTTCTACATGAGTGAAAACATGAAAATTTTGTCCTGAGTTTATTTCTTCAACATAGTGATCTCCATTCATTTTCCTGTAAAATGTCTCTTTTTAATTCATATAAAACAAGTACCTTGACCATTGCTATTATACATTTTGGACGACAAGCAAAAATACTATCTACCCACTAGCCAAAGGATGCCAATGTTAAAAAAAAAAACAACTCTTGATTATTTCCCATGTTAAAAAGGTACCAATTAGTATCACTTAGCATCTTGATGCTACTCATAAAATTCTGTATATTTTCTTATTTCAACATGCCAGTACCCTGTCAGGTACCACAGGAGCTGGGCACGTGGCCTGTCTGTGTGGTTTGCCAGGCAGTGGAGCAGGAAGACAATGACACAATGCAGGACTGAGAGAACAGAGTGCACATAGACAGAATACTTTCCCATGTATCACTTACTAGGGTTATTTTTAGCTTAGAAAGGCAATGCTAAACTTATCCATATTGGATTTCCAAAACAAAAGCAGATGCTCCAAGAAAATGAAGCATAATATAGGATGACCCATCCCTAAGAATATCATAAAGTTTGCAAGGTATGGGTTTTTGTTTTGACTACTCCATTTTAAAGAAAACTCTAAATATCCAGGTTGGTGAGATGGCTCATGCCTGTGATCCCAGCATCAGGAAAGCAGCAGAAAGATGATCACACGTTCTAGACAAGCCAGGGTGACATGAGAAGATCCTGTCTCAAAAAAGATTCTGAATGCATAAACCTGACTATAGATTTTCTCAGTGGTTAAGTATCAAATCTTGAAGTCAAAACTGTGAAAGTGCTTACTAACATACAACCAGTAGGTGGCGCTGAGCAACCAAAAATTAAAACAAAGCTTTCATGGATTATAAAATACGCAAGATAACTCTGCTCTGTCCAGTTTATGTAACTTTAATAATTGTTAAATTTAACTTACAGCACCTATTATCACAAAACTGAGAAACCTAAACTTTCCTTAAAACAAATCCATCTTTGATTAAGGGTTTAAAAAAATTCTAAAAGTGAAA